AGGATGCCTTACTGTATATGCCCAAACCATGTGGACAACCTATTGCTCTAGGTTATGAATTTTCATAGCACAATCATTTTTTAACACAAAGCATTACAGTAAAAATGTGTTATAAAAGATGGAAAATTGACATACCTATACCGTACTTTTCCCATCAAGGGAGCCTGCAGGGCTGGGCATTCTTTGGGTGGTTTCAGAGTGGGTACTCACTGACCATAATGGCCTAGGACTACAGGCATTACAAACAGCTACAGGGAGGCTACATTAGGTCTTGTTTCTTTCTTCCATAGCAAACCTAGTTTAATGTATTTTTTTATTTTATAGACTTCAAAACCTTATTGGTTCTTTTATAGCAATGTTTAGCTTAAAATACGGAGACAAAACTTTCTTTTTAACAAAGGTTCATTTTTTTTTAATCATGGTTAAGGACAAGTCTCTGTGTGAGTTTGTGCATGTGCCAGAAGATGGTGCTGGATCCCTGGGAACTGGAGCTACAGCCTGACATGGGTGCTGGGAACTGAACCTGGGTCCTTCTGTAAGAAAAGGTGCTCTTAACTACTGAACCGTCTTTCTAAGTCCCTCTTTTGGTGTATCCATGTACTTTCATGTTAAATCTTTATTTGGATAGCTGAGGATCTAGCTCTGTTGGCAGAGCACTTGCCTAGCATGGGCAAGGCCATGAGTTCCATACCCAGCACCACAAAGAAAACTATTTTAACTCCAGCCTGATGGTGCAGGCCTGTAATCCAAGTTATTCGGATGAGGCAGGAGGATCTCAAATTCAAGGCTGACCTTTGCTCCTTTGTCAATGGTCAACTGATCATGCTTATGTGGGTTTTTCCTGGGCCCTATATTATGCTACAGTGACTTACTTTTCTATGCTTTCACCAAGCGTCTAGCATCTTAACTGCAGTAACTTTATTGTAAGACTCAACATTGGACAGGACCCGTTTCCCACACTGTTCTTTGGGATTCTGTAAGCTTTTGCTTCTCCATAGGTACCTCAGAACCACTTTACTGATGCACACTTGTTTGCTGCTATTTTTGTTTAATTGCACTGAATCTATAAAATTGATAGTAACTGGTAACCTCACAGCATTCAGTCTTCCTAGCCATGAAACAGAATGTTTCTGCATTTAGTGCTTTGACTGCATTTATTGGAGCCCTGTAGTTTTCTTCATAAAGATTGTTGTGTGTGTGTGTGTGTGTGTGTGTGTGCTTGACTTGTGCCCTAAATATTATGTTTTAATTTTTATGAAAACTGTTGAAACTTGGAGATATGGTTAGCCTCAGTATTGACACTGCATCCTGTAACTGTTTGAAAATGGCTAATCAGTTTTAAGAGGTGTTTTTGCTTTTTTTGTTTGTTTGTTTGTTTGTTTGTTTTTGGCTTTTGTGTAGCTTTGGAGCCTGTCCTGGTATTTATTTTGTAGACCAGGGTGGCCTTTAACTCACAGAGATCTGTCTGCCTCTGCCTCCAAAGTGCTGGGATTAAAGGCCACTGCCTAGGTATTTTCAAGAACCTTTTGTTCTTTGCTCTTAGTTTCTACACTAATAGTCGGGGCATCTTGAAGAAAGACAATTTGACTCCTTCTTTCCCCCAAAAAGTGCATTGGTGTACTTTTGTTGTTTATTTGAAACATGTCTCTCATATAAGCACCATAAGCTAACCAGTTACACAAGTGAATTCTTAGACAGAGTCTATGTAACTCAGGCTGGACTGGAACTCACTATCTAACTCAGTCTGGACTCAAATTCATGATCCTTCTCCCTCGGCTTCCCAAACACGGGCATTACAAATGTGCATCTTATATACTTTATTTATTGTATTAACTATGATTTCAGCAATGATATTGAAAAGGAGTCCAGTGAGAAGGGACATCCTTACCTTGTTCCTGACGTTAGTGGGAAAGCTAGTTGCATTTCACCATTAATGTAAGCTAAGCCAGTTGTGGAGCACTTAGGAACCTGAGGCAGGAAGACAGTGCGAGACCAGCCGAAGCCACAAGTGACTTCAGGCCAGCCTGAGCTATACAGAAAAACTGTCAAAATACACGTAACTCCCTCCTTACACCAACACCCTCCATGGAATAAATGTTATAGAATGTAGAAGGGGACTAGTTGGAAAGAAGAAAGGAATCAGCTGGAATTGGAAGACAAAATGGGGTGATAGGAGGTGAATACAGTCAAAACATATTATTAAAATGTCATAGTGAAACCCATTCTTATGATAATTAGCATGCTTCTAATAAAAAATTTAAAAAGATCTCTGCATGCCATTTGAAGTAACTCAGACTTTATCCTAAGGATGGATCCCATGTGCTAGGCGACCGACCTTTGGCAACTTTACAAAATGAAGAGGTTTTATTATGGTTTCTAAACTTTAACGTGAGAATGTAAAGGTGATACTTTTAGCTTCAACACCTGGTTCTTTGATCATCATTGCTCAGTGATGTCCTCCAGTTCACGAGCCCCATTGACTCTGGTCACTGAATTCCCCGTGTACTATTTTACACAGCGACTCACAGCCCTTTGCTTTCTGAAAAGCTTATTTAGTGCAGGACTCTGAGATGGCCTTGGGATTCCTACTTCCTGATGTATGTCTGTGTTTAGTGTGTGTGTGTGTGTGTGTGTGTGTGTGTAGAGCTGGTGAAGAGCATGGGATATCATGGCCATATACCGAGCTAAAATCAACTGACTTTGAGTTCATTAAACAAGTGAAATTCCTGGTCTAGGGATGTAGCTCAGTTGGTAGAGTGCTTGCTTAGTAAGCATGAAGTCCTGGGTTTGATTCCACAACACTAAGAAAGCACTAAGGAGCAAACAGCATGCTCTAAAAAGGACTCAGCACAGGGAGTGACAGACAGACTCCAGAAGCTGCCAGCAAGAGAGATTACTGTAGGTGTGAAAAGGGGAACCTCAAGGCTCTGATAAGGGATATGCCTTTTCCTTGCTAGCCGCTTGGTCCCCCCCCCCCAGTCGCCTGGGCTCTGCTGTGTTGTAGTCCCCCAAATAACACACAAGACGCTGTATTAATTATGAACCTGTTGGCCTTGCTTGTTTCTTACTGGCTAGCTCTGACTTAAGTATTTATCCCATAATTGCTAATCTAAGTATTTTCTCTTACCGGAGAAGTTTCCGGGCTTCTTATCCCTATGGCTGTTACATCTTGACTCCCTGTGTTTCTCCTACCCAGAGTCCTCCTGGACTCCTAGTCCCACTTATCTTTCTTCCCTATTGGCCAACAGTGCTTTATTGACATATACACAGGACTTCCCGAACAAGGACAACACTATGGTTCTACCTTAAGACTTCATAAGCTACTTGTCTTATGGCCTAATAAACTCCAGTGGGTATAGTTCTAAGCAGCCAGGTGGTCATTTTTGTTACTTGGTGAAAGTAAATATGCCTAGTATTCTATATTAAGATGGAAGGCCTGTTCTAAATCTTGCATGGCCTGGGGTGTCCCTGGTCTTAGTTCTAGAGTTTGGATACACTTTAGACAATGAATGCTAGTTCCACAGGGAGCCTGCTGTCTAATGGAAAGTATCTTAGTTAGGGTTTCTATTGTTGTGATGAAACACCATGACCAAAGCAAGCCAGAGAGAAAAGGGTTTACCTGGCTTATAGGTCTATATCACTGAAGGAAGTCAGGACAGGAACTCCAGCAGTGCGGGCACTGGAGGCAGGAGCTGATGCAGAGGCCGTGGAGGGGAGCTGCTTATTGGCTGTTCCTCATGGCTAGCTCAATCTGCCTTCTTATAAACCCAGGACCACAAGTCCAGGGATGGCACCACCCACAATGGGCTGGACCCTCTCCATCAGTCACTAATTAAGAAAATACCCTACAGCTGGATGTTAAGGAGGCATTTTCTCAACTGAGGTTCCCTCCTTTCAGATAACTCTAGCTTGTGTCAAGTTGACGTAAGACTATCAAGCACAGAGGACAAAGCTTGGAAATCTCTGAGGAATATTCATAACAGCATTCTAAGTTATAGTTGGCTTTGCACTATCACCAAGAAGTACTATTTTGTTTTCTTTTACTTCAATTCGAATTAATGGTAAAACTAAAATGCAAAAATCTAATGTTTTTCTAGGATAACCTCACAGTACATTATCATTTGCAAGGGTAGGGACCATATAAAACAGTGGTGGATGGAAATTATTACTTTGAAATAGAACATATATAGGATTTGCAATTATTTGCAAAAATAAGCTACACTTTGATCAAAATTCCAGTATACAATCCCAAGTTATGTTTAGCAGACATTTTCATATAGGCTTTAACATATGTAAGATTTGACCCATGAGATGGCCTAGTAGGGAAAAGGTGCTTCCCAAGACAAACTGAGGACCCAAGTTCCATCCACAGAACTCACATGGTAGAAGGAGAGAGCTGACCCTTCAAAGTTGTCCTCTGACCCCACATGTGTGCCATGTCACATGTATCCATACACATACACAAAAGTACACACACTAAACACACAAATATATTTATATTATATATAGATAAATTTAGAGAGGTAGAGGAAGAGGGGGAGGGGAGAGGAGAGGAGAAGAGGGGAAGGTGGGAAGAGAGAGAGAGAGAGAGAGAGAGAGAGAGAGAGAGAGAGAGAGAGAGAGAGTGTGAGTGAGTTCTGAGGCCCCTTCAGATGGATAGCAATCCTTCTTCCTGATTTAGCATCCTACAGAGAAGCCAAGGCTGGCCTGGGGTCTTTGGCTTTTCTTGGGGTTGGGGTAGGGAACAGTATCTCAGGGATGCTCTCTTTTGTAGTGTTTCCATGCCTGTCCCTTTCATAGGTACTACATACATGCCACACTTCTCTTCTGCCCTATACTGAAGAAAAAATTACCTCCACCCACCCATGGAACCCAAACAAAAAACCTAGCAACCATCTTGGATGACCCATATTCCCAGTCTCTTCTCTGATCAGCAAATGAATCCCCTTCAGTTTCCTTCTTAAATATTTCCCAAATTAACAAGACATCACACTGCATGATTGAACGCAGAAATGTTTACAGTCTTTGCATTCCATATTAAGGTAGAATATGGATCAGCTTTAAGAAGGAAGGAAATTGTGATCCATGTTAGAGGGTGAGTGAACCTTTAGGACATAGTATGCCAAGCAACAGCACTAAATCCTAGCCCCTAGAACACTAAGGATAACTACAGTGCCCTCCCCACACTGCTATACGATTTCAGTTATATGAGGTTCCTGGAATAGTCAAAACAACCCAGACAAAGTAGAATGATGGTCTCTAGGGCTTGGCAGAGGGGAAAATAGAGTTAGTATTTAACGGGACAGAGCTTCAGACCTCCAAGGTGTAAAGAGTTTGGAAGCTGGTTGGTAGGGATAGTTGTACAATATGACTGCATTAAGGTCACTGAACTATAAATTTTATGCCACGTGCTTTATCACAATAAAAAAGGAAACATTTTTATACTGGTGACATACAGTGAAGAGAAACATCTGTTATTAGTGCTGTGGGCAGCCTCTATGACACCTGTAAGGATTCCCAGAGCCTGCAAGGCACAGCTGAAGTTAAGAAGAGTCTGGGGGAGGGTGTTTTCATCATATAATATAGGAGGAAAAGTCTGATCAGCTTGATGACTTATTGTATTTGATTCTTGTTCTGAGTTCATTTTTATCCAATAGTTAAAACTTCACATGATTAAAGGCATTCATGGTTGGTAGGCCGGAGCATCTGTAGACACCTGCCGCTTCCTCCTCAGTCTCTTCAATCTCAGCTGAGGTGAGAGCTCCCCTTGCAGGCCATTTTCTTAAGAGGCGAAAACCTGTTGTGGCATCTCTGCAGTCACACTGGAGACACCTGGCTGAGATTCGGGTCTCTTAGTCTCCTTCTCAAGAGGTGCTGCGTCTTCCTGTAGGGCTGGGGTCTTGTTTGAGGAAAGAGCTTTGGGGAGCAGTTCCTAAAGAGAAAACACAAAGGAGAGAAGGTGTTTCTGGAGATGAAACATGGGGATAGCAGGAGCACACAAACTGCTGTTTTTATGCCGGAAACCAACAAAGAACAAAGCTGAAATCAATCTACTGCAAAGGCACGTGAGGTCAAACCTGCTGGGATCAAAGTGTTGCACCAGGAACTATGCAGCCTGCAGGGATAAAACCTCATACGGTGCACAAAACATCAACCGCAATCTTCAGTACACACATAGAAGTTACCAGACAGATGAAGGAGGAAAACCTGAGCCGTTAACTTCAGAATGTCACTCTTGATGGCAGTAGCAGACAGGGACTTAAAAAGATTCATTAAATATTTTCAAAACTCTAAGGGGAAACAGGGACATAAGAAGTAAAAATTAAGGTAGATAGTCGAGAAGATGGAAACAGACACTCAAGAGATTAAAAAGTATATCTGCACTAAAAAAATCATAGATGGTTGGGGGATGACTCAACCAATAGAGGGATTGCAAGCGGGAGGATCTGTTTGATCCCCCAAAATGAAAACAACAACAAAAAACAAAACAAAAAAGGCATGGTGGCCTGTGCTTGTATTCCCAGTGCTGGGGAAGCCAACACAGGCAGATCCCTGGGGCTCACTGGCCAGTCAGCTTAGCCTAATAATTAAGCTTTAGGGCAGTGAGAGGCCCTGCTTCAAAAGACAAAGTGGGGTCTAGAAAGATGACTTAGTAGTTAAGAGAACTTGATGTTCTTGCAGGGGACCTAGGTTCTGTTCCCAGCACCTACATAGATGCTCACAGCTATCTGTAACTCTAATTTCAGGGGATCCAACACCCTCCTCTGGCTTCCATGTGTCCTATATGCACATGGTGTTGTGCCCAAATTCTGAGCCCCCAAATCACCAAGAGGCCCATTCCAATGCAAAAGCAAAGAGCCTTTTATTAAAGTTATTTAACAAGCTAAAGCCATTAGCTCGGGTCCTTCACCCTGCCACCATGGCGAATGACTGGAGAAAGACCCCAAGCAACCTCGAGGCAGGGTTCTTAAAGGGCAGCGTAAGGGGAGTGTCTAGGGTATGAAACAGTCTCAGGATTGGTGTACTTCCAAGTTTGGACGACCTGCCCTGTGTTGATTGGTCAACTGGGCGTCCTCCCAGGGCGGTTGCTATGCACTTGCAGCCCCACCAGCTAACTTTTGATTGGCTCCTTGCCATGAGGAGGGTATCTGACCTCCTAGTGACCAGGACAGAAGTGGCAAGGTCTCCCAAGCACATGTTAGCCTGTCATGGCTACTAAAACGGGGAGGAATGGTACACTCACACATGTGTATATGAACATTTTTACACATAAAGTAAATATAAATAAACCCTAAAAAAACAAAATGAAAGGCAAGATGGATGCCACATGTATGCATACACACATAGCCACTAAAAAAAGACAAAGAGCATGGGGATTCCTAAGTAGGATTCTGGCTACGACAGAGGAAAGGCTTAAATGTGACAGCAGATCTATAGAAATGAGCCAACCTGAAGCTGAGAAAAATGCTGCTGAGAGTAAGTAAGTTGATTATTTAATGCTCAAACCTAAAAGGGACACCTATATCACCTCCCCCAAGGCAGCAGAGGGGTTAGAAAGGACACAAGATCAGAAGGAAGGGGTGGAACACTGTAGAACACTGTCTCTGGGCATGGCAGGCCTAGAGAAAAGTGATGAGAAGGTGGAAGAGGGGTTTGGTGGGCAAAGCACCAGTGCCACGAGCAAGCTAACCAGTTACACTGGCCATATCAGGAAGCTAACCAGTTACACTGGCCATATCAGCAAGCTAACCAGTTACACTGGCCATATCAGCAAGCTAACCAGTTACACTGGCCATATCAGCAAGCTAACCAGTTACACTGGCCATATCAGCAAGCTAACCAGTTACACTAGCCATATCAGCAAGCTAACCAGTTACACTGGCCACATCAGGAAGCTAACCAGTTACACTAGCCATATCAGCAAGCTAACCGGTTACACTGGCCATATCAACAAGCTAACCAGTTACACTGGCCATATCAGCAAGCTAACCGGTTACACTGGCCATATCAGCAAGCTAACCGGTTACACTGGCCATATCAGCAAGCTAACCAGTTACACTGGCCATATCAGCAAGCTAACCGGTTACACTAGCCATATCAGCAAGCTAACCAGTTACACTAGCCATATCAGCAAGCTAACCGGTTACACTAGCCATATCAGCAAGCTAACCAGTTACACTAGCCATATCAGGAAGCTAACCAGTTACACTAGCCATATCAGGAAGCTAACCAGTTACACTGGCCATATCAACAAGCTAACCAGTTACACTAGCCATATCAGGAAGCTAACCAGTTACACTGGCCATATCAACAAGCTAACCAGTTACACTAGCCATATCAGCAAGCTAACCAGTTACACTAGCCATATCAACAAGCTAACCAGTTACACTAGCCATATCAGCAAGCTAACCAGTTACACTAGCCATATCAGCAAGCTAACCAGTTACACTGGCCATATCAACAAGCTAACCAGTTACACTAGCCATATCAGCAAGCTAACCAGTTACACTAGCCATATCAACAAGCTAACCAGTTACACTAGCCATATCAGCAAGCTAACCAGTTACACTGGCCATATCAACAAGCTAACCAGTTACACTGGCCATATCAGCAAGCTAACCAGTTACACTGGCCATATCAACAAGCTAACCAGTTACACTGGCCATATCAGCAAGCTAACCAGTTACACTGGCCATATCAGCAAGCTAACCAGTTACACTAGCCATATCAGCAAGCTAACCAGTTACACTGGCCATATCAACAAGCTAACCAGTTACACTAGCCATATCAGCAAGCTAACCAGTTACACTAGCCATATCAACAAGCTAACCAGTTACACTAGCCATATCAGCAAGCTAACCAGTTACACTGGCCATATCAACAAGCTAACCAGTTACACTGGCCATATCAGCAAGCTAACCAGTTACACTGGCCATATCAACAAGCTAACCAGTTACACTGGCCATATCAGCAAGCTAACCAGTTACACTGGCCATATCAGCAAGCTAACCAGTTACACTGGCCATATCAACAAGCTAACCGGTTACACTGGCCATATCAGCAAGCTAACCGGTTACACTGGCCATATCAGCAAGCTAACCAGTTACACTGGCCATATCAGCAAGCTAACCAGTTACACTGGCCATATCAACAAGCTAACCAGTTACACTAGCCACATCAGGAAGCTAACTGGTTACACTAGATATCAGCAAGCTAACTGGTTACACTAGCCATATCAGCAAACTCTGGGTTCACCCGAGCATCCCTGCCTTGATGAATAAGGTGGAGAGCAATTGAGGAAGACTGATATCAGCTTCAGATTTCCACACTAATGTGTACACATGTACATGTGCAAACACATACCACACACAAACCTATCCCACACACATATGAACACAAGAGGGCACTCAAATATAACACCTGCAAAACCCAAAGAAACCAAAGTCCCTGTGATGGATGTATGGGGTAATGTCTAAGAGTCTAACGTCCATGTGACTGCAGTCTCTGGCTGAGGTAAGAACTCTTGGAACTGAAGCTTGATGGGCGACTGCATGAAAGTTCCAGAAGTCCATTCTGCAGTGTGGACCCTGTAAGGTTGTAGCAGAGAGGCCTGCGAAGCATCTGCCCACATCATCTCTGAGACCTTTCTAACTTGTGTTGAATCTAAGAGAATGTTTACCAAGACATTTATGTGGTACATATCCTTATAAATATTAGGGACGCTTCGTGTCTTAGGGAGTGCCTTCTTAGAGTCCCTCTGCTTAATAAATGGAAACCAACTGAAGACCATGTTTGTAAACTCGCTCCTAGCCTGAACTCATGAGCTACCACCCCAGTGATGTTCTCCTTGATTCCCATTTGGATGTGATTCCTATCCCATTTGGCACCCACTTTTGCTCCTCTTTGGACACTTTTTTTTTTACTTCTACTAGCAGCATCCTATCAGGGGAACTCCAATACTCAGATCGACACACAGAGAGTTTTGAGAGAGATAGTTGGACATGGCGTCGCATGCCTGTCATCCCAACACTGGGAAGGCCAAGGCTGGAGACTGTTATGAGCTTATGGCCATCCCGGGCAACCTTGAGAGTTCCAGACCAGCCAGTGCTAAACAACAGGATCCTGCCTCAAAAATTCCAAAAGCAGGGGCTGGAGAAATGGCCTAGGAGTTAGAGCACTGGCTGCTCTTCCAGAGTCCTGAGTTCAATTCCCAGCAACCACATGGCTCACAACCATCTGTAATGAGATCTGTGTCCTCTACTGGCCCGTAGGCACACATGCAGGCAGAACACTGTATATTATAAATAAATGAATAAATCTTTTTAAAAATTTTCAAAAACAAAGCAAACAAACACAAACATTCCCCAAAACCCAAACCAAACAATCTAAACCAAGCAAAAAGCAAAACAAAGATATGAAGAACAAATCTTGCAAGAAAGTGCGTGTAAAGCAGCCAGTAAAACGTAGGTCAGCTGAAATAGTACCAAACGTATCCCAGGCCTGTCTGAAGCCAAGTTACCCTCTACTAGTGACACAGAAGTATCTGAAATCCACACAAAGTCATCCGGGAGCCAGAACTTGCAAGTTGTCTTATTTGCTGCCTTCCTACCTCTTTGCCTAATCTTTTCAAATTTGATTTGGACACTAACTGATGTGAGTCAAGAGGCCAGATAAGTGATCGATTCAGCTTGGTTTGGTCTCAGGTTGCCTTCATTCCTTCTAACAAAGGGGAACAATGTCTGTGACTACAACTGGCTATAGACACTTTCCAAATAAAGCGTTCGCACAGTCGGGCATCGCCAGCTCTCCTTTCCCATCTTCCCTCACAAGTGTCTCCTCTCATGCGTGGGAAAAGAATGGCAGGCACACTTTTGGTCTATCTAACCCTAGCCATAGAGTGCAAAAACGTGAGTGAAACACAGGGGGCCAATCTACACTGTTAGTGTCAGCAAAGCTTTCCACAGTAAGCAGCATAAAACACAGTGGTGTGGGGAGTCGTGCCTTACCTTCCATATTTCTTTCTGTTCACAAATAGTGTTGGGAAATGATTAACATGAACAACAAGTGATGAGGACTTTATTTAATGTGCCTCACCTTTTCCATCTCAGTTGTTCAAAAAATGAACCCTGAGGGCCAGTTCCACTTCATGGATGCCCAGCCTGTAATATTGCAAAACATGGCCAACTACAAGGTTCACGTTTCATACTTATACAATAGGGTTACACAAAAATATATTGCAATGTATTTGCCTGTATTCACGGCTACCTTGGAGTGCATAGATTGACCTCATGGGATTATCAAAAGGTACTATCAAACTAGTGTCCTAATGGGTATGGTAGTTTGTGATTGTATTTCTTAGTACTTGGGAGGCTGAGGCAAGAAGATCACAGTAAGTTCCTGGGCTATGTAGAGAATCTCTCTCTGCCTCTGTGTCAATCCATTCTAGCAGACTGAACCTAGCACTTACACATACTAGCTGAATCTCTAAAACTAAGTGATATGGTCTCAGCAATTTAGGATTTTTATTTGTCCAGGCTAGCCATGAACTTACCATGTAGCCCAAGCTTCTAAATCTGGTGTGTCTTCCTTTCAATTTATTGACAAGACATTTAGCCTTACAAATAAGCCTACTGATTATAAGAGTGTGTTATTGCTGAATATCTTACCATCAAATGCAAACAAGCACAGTGTTTTTCAAGTTGGCTTTGGGGCAGCAAAGCTGGATCTCACTAAGGATATTAAGGACATATTGATGATTAAGAAGACTTCTGGTGTCAATCCTGACATTACAGCTGAGAGAGTTCTCTAATTAGGTACGTGTAAAATTTTTAGGAGTTGTAGACTGTGGGAGACTGATGTTCTGCTTGCCAAACCAAGATAGACAGAATTGCTTTGAACTGCTTGGAGTTGATAACTGATGTTTGCATTACATCATAGAAGGTAGGCCTGATGCTTGACACAGAAATAATTATAATCTAAAGATAAAATGATAAGTAGAATACTATATCTGATATATGCATTGAGAATTGTATTTGTTTCTGAAAAACATGGAATAATGTTTTTGAAGGACTCCAAGGAATTCGAAAGAAAATGAAATATTAAAAAAATATTTAAAACCTGAAAATTTTAAGGCCAGTCATACTAATGACTTTCTGAAATCTAAAATAAATTTGCCATTTGATACTTCATTTTTCTATTGCCAAGTGTTTTATGGACAAGATGTAATGCCTACAGCGCAGCTGTGAGGGAGAAGCAGTCCAAGGGTGGCCTCAGTGTGCTTTGTACAGTGCTAGGTGCCTTCAGGGTTTCCTGGGAGCCCTGCCTGAGAGCAGCTGAGCTAAATTTTCCATTCTCCCTTCCTACCTGGTGACACTTCTCACACTTCTGCTGAATTTGATTTTCCTCTTGTTTCAGGATTTGGGTCATTTTCGCTTCCTTGAGGTGTCTGTCATACTCTTCCTTTAGCTGCAGCTCCTCTTGCCTTTTCTATGATAATATGATAGAGACAGTCACGTTACATCTCTTTGACAGGACCCCCCCCCACCCACCTGAGATAGACCTGCCCCTGCCAGGCCCACTGAACTTCTTCCTGTTATAAGGGTGAGCTAGGCAGTAGCTCCAAATCCAGCTCTAAAACCCTCTGAGCTAGACTCCCTCCGTACCCCTCAGAGTCCTCCTACATCAGAGGTAGCTGAGACTAAGCAACCCTCACAAGGCGGATGAGCCAAGAAACTCTCCAGGTCAGCTCAGGACTCCGCCTTGGATTTCAAGATGTTCTGAGCAAACCAAAGCCTCCCTAGGCAGGCCCCGTACACAAGCACACCTTCTCTTTAGCGTTATTCACATCCCTGTAATGGTAAAGCAGGTGAGCCAAGTGCTCTATTGGGTCACTGGGTCGCACTCTTGCCACCTCTGCCAATGCCTGGGTCAGGCTGTTTCCAAAGCACTTCTTCAGGTAGGCAGTTTCCATGCTGGGGACCTGGGAAACACCAAATCAGATGCTTTATTTTACAAATGCTATATACCTTTTAAAATGAATCCATTCAAACAAGTTACATTTGTTCTGGGACAAATATGAAGTATTTCAGAATCACAATTACGGTAGTTTTCCAGTATAATAACATAATACTTGAGACCATCAACTAAAGGAGGAAGGGCTATTTTGGCTGTATGGCCATTTGGTCCAATCACTCTGGGCCTATAATGAGGCCAAACACTGTAAGAGAGGGAACATGGTGGGTAAGAGTAAGTCACTTCAGGAAGGGGAGGAAAGGAAGGAAGAAGGAAAAGAGAAAGGGAAGGACACATATTCTTATTCCATGTGTGTGTGTGTGTGTGTGTGTGTGTGTGTGTGTGTGTGTGTGTGAGAGAGAGAGAGAGAGAGACAGAGAGAGAGAGAGAGAGAGAGAGAGAGACTCCTTTCCAAGGGTGTGATCCCATTGACCTAACTTCCTTCCAGTAGGCTCTACCTGTTACAGACTCTGCCATTTCCCAATATTGCCACAGCTCCACAAAAAAAGCCTTTAGCACATGACTTTTTTGGGAGGGAGTATTTAAGATCTGAATCACAACACTCTGTCCCTGGTTCCCAAAGCTGAGTACTTACCTCACCATGAAAAATATATTTGGTATGTCTTCAAGAGTCACGGAAGTCTTTAGTTGTTGATTTGGGTTTTATCTTTTGTCTTTTGCGGCCGGTTCCTGTAGTGTGGCCTAAGCTGGCCTTAAACTTGCTATCCTCTTGCTTCCATACTCTGAGTGATGGAACTACAGGCTTGTACAACTGGACCTGGCACTGAAGTCTTTAATAGTCCCAGAACAACTCATAAGTCAAAGTCCCAAGTCTCCTGTAGGACTCAGGGACAACTCTAAGAGAAGAACCTTTGTAGAAATCAAAAGAAGTGGGCCAAGGTGGCGCATGCCCGTAACGTTGGCCCTCATGAGGCTGAGGCACGAATATCAAGAATTAGAGGCAGCAGAGAAACTTCTCCCTGCAGTGGACAGTGGTTAATACAGCTCATAACTGGTCCAAACGGCTGAGAATAGAGTCTCTTGAGTGTTCAACCCTAAATGGGACATCTGCATCAATCCCCACCCCAAGGCTCAAGTAATATCATAGAAGAGGTATGGAAAGCAGGTAAGAGCTAGACGGTGGGAATGAGTGCTGTGAAATGCTATATTCATTATATGACAAGGCATGAACTCACTGCAGTTATAGCTACCTATATACCATCAAATTAGTAAACCAGCCACCATTCCAACAGGCAGCGATGATTAGACTCAGTAGGTTATTAGTAAAACTGAGAGGAGAGAAGATAGGAAAGGACTATATTGGAGGTGTGTGGGAAGAGGGATTTGGGCTGGATATGATCAAAATGCATTGATTAGATGTGTGAAATGGTCAACGAATAAATAAATGATAGGTTATTAAAAACAATTTGAAGCCAGGTTGAGAAACATAATGAAACACTACCTCAAAAAAGTATCAAAAGAGCAAGTTATTAATACATATTTCTAAGGAACAATGAAGGTCAAGCCTGAAGATGGTGAAGACCTAAAATTCTATTTACTTTGGAGTCTAGGGCAAGAGGATCAAAAGTTCAAGGCCTTCTGGGTGGTAGACCAAGTTCAAGTCCCTTGGCATCTTAGCAAGACCCCGTTTCAAAATGAAACATACTTAGAGGGTTAGGGGTATAATTCAGTGGTAGAGTTCTCGTCCAGCATACACAAGGCCCTAGGTTTAATTCTCAATACTACAAAAAGAGCAAGAGGAGGAGGAGGAGGAGGAGGAAGGAAGGGGGAAGAGGGGAAAGGGGAAGAGGTAGAAGCAGATGCACAGGAAAATATTTCTCCTCTCAAAGGGTAAAATAGGAAAAGAAGGAGTAAGACTACAGCAAGACCAAAGCCCAGAAGGGCAAACATTAAATGCTGTCACTCCATGTCTGCTAGCATAGTAGTCTTACATGAGCTGTAAGTGCTGGGCAGACTCTTTCCTATGCCTGGCTGGCAGCAGCAGTCCACATAGACCTCTCTGCTGGCCACATCTGTCCTTATGCTCCACATCTGTCCTTATGCTTCTCTTATTGTCAGGTTCAAAGGAAACTTCATTTTCCCAAATTCTAGAAGGCAGAAGGGAAAAATGGCACTGTCTATTAGCGTACCAAAGAGCCTGCTGGCCTCCAGGCTTCCTCAGGATCTGTTATAAATTTCAAAATCCATTCTAGCTGGCATCCTAGCCCTTCCCACCTCTCCTGTACCAAACTCCCCCACTCCCCAGTTCACAGGCTTCCCTCCCCCAAGTTTCCTTTTCTTCTTCTTCTTCTTCTCCTTCTCCTTCTTCTTTTTTTGTATTTTGAGACAGGGTTTCTCTGTGGCTTTGGAGGCTGTCCTGGAACTAGCTCTTGTAGACCAGGCTGGTCTCGAACTCACAGAGATCCGCCTGCCTCTGTCTCCCGAGTGCTGGGATTAAAGGCGTGCGCCACCACCACCCGGCCCAAGTACTCATTCTTATAACCCTGCTATTTCACTATGCGTTCTCTCTGTCTCTCCCCCACTCCACCTCTTTCCCTCGATCTCTCTGCTCTGCTCCCGATTCTCTCATGGCCACGTCCAGTCCACTGGCTATGTTCAGATTACTTCTTTCTCTGTCTGCTCCGGACTCTCCAGATGCCTCAGCTAGTCTCTCCCTCCCATCTACCGTAAACCCACCTCTTAATCATACCCTCAAGTTGTCATATCATTAGTTTGTGTACTTATTGGTACTCTGGTCTTCTGAGCCCTTGCCAGAACTGCCCATCAAGTTCTGCTTACAGCACTGTAGTTCTGCTTCCCAATTTTTTTCAAAATTCCTTACACAAATTCCAAAGACTTCTGAAGCACAATATCAAGTAATCAAATCAAGGAGCCTGATTCCTTGGTGCCAATTTCTGTATTAGGAAACTCTCTGTTGCCATAACAAAATGCGGAGATAGTCATGTGAAGGAGGCTGGGTTTCCTTCTACCCATGGCTTCCGATATCTTGGGTCATACATAGTCACTTGGCTTCAATGGTTTTTGGCCTCTGGAAAGGCAGAGAGAACCTCAGGGTAGGGAGCAACACAGTTGAAAAGGCTGTTCACCTCATGAAAGTAAGGACAGTGGAAGGGAGGGGTCAGAGTAGCATAGTTCCCTTCAAGGGCACACTTCCCATGATGCACCTTCCTCTTGTAGGCCCTACCCACTAAGGAGTCCGTCAGTCTCCAACAGTGAGTGCTCCAAGTATAAACTGGCCACATGACCTCCATGGTACGGTTAAGGAGAAGGTTTTTATTGTAGATTTGAGAGAGAGAATTGCCAGAGGTATCTGGAAGGGTCCAGAGTGGAGGGAGTAGGAGGAGGGGAGCGGAGAAAAAAGTAGACTGAACATGGCCAGCAGGGGTCAGGAGGGAGGGGCATGGCATGGTAGGGGTGACGACGAGAGAGAGCATATTGAAAAAAGCAGGAGTAGCTGGGGGAGGGAAGCCACAAGCTGCAGGGAGTTTAGGGGAGGGGAGGACGGGAGAAGAGCTACTTTGAAACAGGACGGTGAGCTGAGGGACCCTGGGGGCCAGCAACCACTTTGGTATGCTAATAGACACCACAGGTAGCCTTTTGTCCCTTCTGCCAGTGGTACAGGAAATGTGGAGGGAAGCAGTTTCGGCTTCCTGAGGAATGCTGGCTTTTATCTAACCATCAGAAATCAGGACGTCGTCCAAGTTGAGCCCATTTCTGGATATCTGGACTGCGTTTCGAAGTTTGGGGAACTGGAGTTTTATTTGGATCTAACACTACAGACTGGCCGGCAAACAAGCCTTCAGCTAGTGGCTTTTGCTGGGGGCGGGGGTTGTCACTTAAGATCCAATTATAACACTACCTTTCTGAGGAGAGCCAACCAAATCTCACTTGCCAGCAGCAGTTACAGTGAGTGGGCTTCTTCTTTATGGCTTCCCAGCTGGAATATGTCAGACCATGAGAGCTAGTGCTCATCCGTCTTGAGAGGGCTTGGCATGTGATTATTTAAGGTCACATATGCCCTAGGTACAGAGAAACTCTGGGGAGATTGCAAGCTGTGTTATTGTGAGGTTGGAAGCTAGTCTATGACATAGACAACAGAGGCTCATGTACTTTACAGGGAGAGAGAAGGAAGTAAGTGATGGGCCCATCAGGCCACTGCAGACACGCTATCCCACCCAGACACGCTGGGTGAAGTTGATGCTCCTAGATTTCCTAATAGGTTTCAAGAGTGGCAGGCAATACAGCCTCAGGCTGAATGCCACACTAGGAGCAGCACGGAACCAGAGCAGAGCCACAGCAGCACAATCACCTGTACCAGGCCTGATGTCACCACTGACAGCTGTGTGATCTTCAGCAAGTTGCTCGATGTCTCAGAGTCTTTGGCGTGTCCTTTGGAAAACAGAAATAAAACACATTCCTCATAATACTGAAAGGACAAATTGAGCTACTAATCACGTGAAAAGCACCCAGCCTGGCACACAGCAAGAATTTAGTAAACTTGAGCTATTATGGAACAAGATTTTGTCAACATATGTCCTTAGTACCTAGCCTCCATATTCCCATTTTTCTTTCAGCTTAAGGAGGGATACATAGACAAATTGGTATAGAAAGCATATATATGAAGCCAAACATTCCAGAGGCAATATGCACTCTGAACATTCTTGTATCTATTTATCTCTCTCTCCTTTTAAAAATGAGATGGAGTCTCACTATGCATAGGCTATGCTGCAACTCTGTAGGTAGTCTGGGGTGGCTTTGAACTTGTGCTTCTTCTGCCTAAGCCTTCCCAGTGATGCATGAGAGGTGTGCCCCATCGTATCCAGATTCAAAGGGGAACTGAATATTGCTCATTACATAAGGGACCAGAGATCCTTAAGAAGAGGTTGGTCCCAGGGTAGAGGGTGGCCGGTATCTTTGGGCAACCTGGAGTTAGTTGCCTGTGCTTGAGTTGGCTCTGAAAGGAAAGTGAAAATTACCAAGTCACCTAGCGACTGTCCCCCAAGTGATCAAGGGGTCTCCCCTGACTTCCAAAGACCTGTGGGTCCTCAGAGCTCCTATCTAAGGGTCCCTGCCCCTCAGGCTCTGTCTTTTGGGGCCTGCCAGGTTCCATAGCTTTGTCCCAATGCGCCTCCTCGGTGCTTCCTCTGCATATCTGGCTCTCCCATCCGCGTGTCCCTTCCCCTATGGCGCACGTTCCCGGCCCCTTCCTGAGCGCGCCCTTTCCCCTCGTGCACGCGTTCCCGTTCCATTTTCCTTCGCCTCACTGCCTCAGTCGGGGTGGAATCCTAACTCTACCCACGAGCGTGCACTCGTTGCCAGGCAACGGTACGCGACTCACTGGCAGGTGGCAGGAACGTGCGTCAGTTGCACGCACCAAGGAGGCTGGAGCGGTTTCCTTAGAACTGATCCTCCAGTGCCTCTGCAGAAGCAGTTCTCAAAAGTACACCTTGCGAGTTTCGTGGGTCTCGCCCCGGAGGCTGAGGGAGCGTTAGTTCTCTGGAAGGAGCGGTGGGCCTGGGTGACTCCGTCTCCTCCTCCTCCCTCTCTTCCGGCTCCTCCTCCTCCTCTTCCTCCTCCCCCTTCCCCGCCCTCTATCCACACAATAGGAAAACTAAGGTAAGAGTCAAGGTTGATGGCTGCCTGATTGAATTTTATTTTCAGGTAAACTCGTTACTTTCTAGCACAAATATAGCATAAGACAATTGTTCATCGTTTCTCTGGTGCCAAATCCAGAACTGCTGCCCAAGTCCCCTTTCTCCCAGGTCCTGGCAGAGGACCTCCTTCAGTGGCTCATAGCAGCTACTCCAGGCTGCAGGGAGCTGTTTCTGTGAGAAGGGACTTTTTTCTTAGGAGCTGGGTTCATGCTGGTGTTTGTAACTGGGAAGTAACATTTCTTGGGGCAGAAGCAATGGTTATTATTTCCTCATATGGCCAGGAAATGGAGAGATGACACAGGGGCCTCATACAAGCCCCACAGAGAATGCTAAGCACCTGCCAGAAGCCCTAGATAGACCCTGGCCAACTCCTAAATTAGAGTTTTCCCCTGAACGACCATTGTCCCTTCCCCAGGTTCCATGTTTCTGGGGCAGCTGGCGTATCTTCCACGTTTTCTGTAACTAAACTTCAAATGACACTGAGATGTCCATGTGGTGATTTTATCTCTGGAGGATTTCCCGCTGAAGAAGCACATTGCAGAACACAGTCCAGTCAGTTGCCATAATACTTTTCTCTATGTGGTTAGGACACCCATGGCAATTCGGTAGGAGATCAGCTCGTCAGTTCTTAGGGCTACACGTCTACATACATTCATTCCTTTGGTGGTTGAAGTAATTTCTGTACCACGCTTCCCCTCCTGCATTGTGGGTCACTAGGGAACCACTCCCTGTTTTAGAGAGCATTTCCATCCCCTTATATTGTCACAAGATTCCACAGTATTGTACTGAATTGACCCTCCACTTGGACATTCAGATGGTAATAACGGTGCAAACGTTGTGTTCACGTGTCGTCTCGAGGTGCTGAGACTGAACCTTGAGATGGGATCAAGAACTGCGATGGTGAACATAGTGTGACATTTCTAGATGTTACCTCAACTATGTCAGTTTTGTTTTCCCTTCGCTATTGCAGGCCAGGCTGGTGTCTATAAGAAGCAAAATGCCTTGGTCCAGAGGCAAGTCTTGGCACAGTGGAACTCTGTCTCTTCTGGCTGCTAGAATTCTCTCTCTCTCTCTCTTTTTTTTTTTGCCTTGTGAATTTTATTGTTTCTTCAGCAAACTTGAGCTTAGCTCAAATATCAACCTTCCACAGAAGATTTTCTTGGCTTCCCTGGCTTGCCAGAGCCCGTGTTGTCTGCTCTTAAGAGAACACATTTCAGTTTTAATTTTGTATTTGCTGATTTGTCATTAATATTCATCTCCTCTACTAATCTCCATGCCATATGATGTCAGAGGTAGTCTGTAGGTCCAAATGCAGATGTTTAGAAGGCAACTGACAGACATCATATATGTTTAATGAAGCAATATTAGTAGCCTTCCTGCTGGAACATGTATTATCACTGTTGCTTCTGTGGGCAAACCCAGTAAATGCACTGGGTCACAATTCTGAGCTTGGGTAGAATCATTTGTTCAGTCTCTTATCCTTCTGGGGTAAATAGAAATAGTCAACCCAGAAAAAGCCACGCAGCAATGTTCATGTCCGAAAAGACTGGGAACCAGCTAGGAGTGAGCACAAATTTGCTCATGGAGAGACAGTGGTGTTAGTCCTGTGGTCAAAATACTCCTTGGGAACCTAAAGGAGTCTTTCTTCTAGAAGAAAGGCAGGCACAGGTACATGGTATGCACATGTGCATGTTCTCTCTCTCTCTCTCTCTCTCTCTCTCTCTCTCTCTCTCTCTCTCTCTCTCTCTTCTCTCTCCACCATCTCAGGGAGCATAATGAGGGCTGTATGAAGTACTTGAAGCGGAAGAAACCCCCAGAAACCCCCTTATCTAGAGCTGGTCTGTACCTTGAAGGTGAGGAGCTATGTTCTAACAATAGAGCGAGGATCATGGAGTTGGAAAAGTGTAGGGTGTGGTATGTAGAATTGCAGGATATTTGGTAGAGTAAGAGCCTAGGGTATATGATGACAGGCAGGTGCTTGAGGTGAGCCTCAAGTTTATGGCTAGATTATGAGTAGCTTCATGCTGTTTATTGGAGTCTGAATTTGTATTCTCTGGCTTTGACAATACATGATTTTTCAGAAGAGATGAATAATTTGTGGTGTTTTATTGAAGTGCTTACCAGAAGCATCTTAGAGTCAATAGACTTAAGTCTCTGAGGTCAGGCAGTGGGTATAAAACCTACATTCACCTGCCAGCCAAGTGCTCTGGGCTGTTAACTGAAGCTCTTTGAGTTTGGCTCCCTCTCTTGCCAGTTGCCTGAGATGTTGTGGACACTAACTGGCACCAGCATTACTTGGCACAATGTGATGAGTAACACTAGTGTCTGTTTCTGACTCTGGGACCAAACAAGAATCGTCAGGATGTAGAAGCTATTTTCACTATGAATTCTGCAGAGACCTTTTGTAGACCATTTGGAGTTTCCAGGGGCCAGCTTGCTTATGTCATCCCTAATAAGAAATATCCATGACTAGTGATAGAGTGGAATGCTCAGGTAGCCTCCTTTGACATTACATTTGATTTTTTTTTTTTTGGTTTTGTGGGCAGGGTTTCTCTGGGTACTCTCTGTAGACCTGGAACTCTCTCTGTAGACCAGGTTGGCCTTAAGTTCAGAGATGTGCCTGCCTCTGCTTGTCTCCAGAGTTCAGGGATTATTGGTGAGAGCCACCACTACTTAGTTTGACTTTACTCTTAACTCTGCCTACTCAGAACACTTTTGGCTCTAATGAAAAACTTTTGTAGGTTGTTTTATTTAGGAGTTAAAAATGGAGTCAGCATATCTTCAAAAGTGCCTGGGGACATGCCTAACTCAAGGTCTCGCTGAAGTGGCAAGAGTTCGTCCATTGGATCCGATAGAATATTTAGCCTTGTGGATTTATAAGTACAAGGACAATGTGATCATGGAGCAATTGGTAAATATGGATCTCCTTTCAGGAAATTAGAAGAGCATGATAACTGGTTCATCTTGTTTATGTTTTATGTTCAGTATTGTTTTTCCGTTATAATAAAGTTTATTATATGAAAACTTTGGACAGTATGGGAATGCAGAGAGGGGAGAAAACAGAAAGAAGGCTTCTGTTTTGATTTTAAGTATTTTCAACTAAGTAGTGTCTTTTTCTGACATGTTTGTCTGTAGGTTGGTTTCCTTTTTCAACATTTTTCTTTATATTCAATACATAGTCTTAATGGTACAGTGTTTGTTTGGCTAAATCATAAAATCACCCAAATTGTTGTATAGTTTCCAAATGAATAGAGCATCATGTTTTTAGCCCTTCTTCTATTGCTGGTGGTTGAGATGCCTCTGAGACTGTTGAAAGATTGGTCTCTGATAATTTGTGTGCTGTTGCTTTTTACCAATTGCTAGAGACAGAAAGAGATGATTAAGTTGGAGCATGAGAGAGAATTAGCGCTGATGGAGCAGGAAATGCTGGAGCGACTCAAAGCTGAGGAAATCTTATTTCAGCAGGTGAGGCAAGCGCTCAAATACGACGGAAGTTGACAGTGCCACCCTTGGCATGCTACAACCCACATCTGGAAATACTCCCAGGCTCTGGTCATTTAGACATTGCTCCCTAGTATCCCCATCCTTTTTTGATAAGAGACAGTACCACGAGGAAAGAGGACAATCCAGAGAGTAGTCAACAGCACCACCGCTAAGCTGGTGGTTATTTACAGCCCAGATAGTCTCTCCAGGAACAGTGGTGAGGGTGGGGTGTACAGGTTAAGAAGGGGGATGGTGAGTGAGCATTATGCTTTCATGGGGTTGGGCAATGGGTTTTGTTTTGATTCAGGAACACAATGAATGACTTTAGAAAAATAGAAAAAATGGTCTAAAACCTTCTATCCACTGTAATAAGAGGCAATTGGCCTGGAAAACAAGTGGATGAACCCTCTTTTATTGCAGCTCAGAGACAAAGCATAGGTGGCTTAGGTATAGGTGGGTGTATTGGCATGTGACACAAAGTTGAAAGATGACTCGGTGTTTCTATCTACTTCATGAGGTAAGAATCAACCAGGACCATATACTTAAGAGTCAAGTGATGAGGTAGGAGGGGTGAAGAGAATGATGAATGTCTGAAATAATACCTTAGGAGGATGGAAGGGTGGGCTGACCTAAAAAAAAAAAAAACAAAAAAGCAAAAAACAAACCCCGCAAATTATTTCCAAATATGAAACTCATTGTGTGCTTACGTGGTGCCAAGGAGTGGAAAATTCCACATTGTTAAGCTTTGTTTTACATAGAAAAATAATAAATTATGATATATGATTACTTTAGGGTAGAAGGTAAAATATTACTGAATTTCATGCTGTTTTGGGTGCCATACCTGAGGCATCTTATTTAATAGTCCTAAGCATTTCTGAAACAAGATGGTATGATGTAGTATTTGGTGGCCAAGCATTCATTATAGTGCTGTCCACTTGGACCTATCCTTCTCTACTGCTAGATCTGTCTGTACTGAAGAGAAGCAGGAAGTCTCAGCTGTTCTTCTTTCCCGAGACAATGGATTCACTATGGGGTTATACTTCACAACCTTTGATGTGTCTGCTTCATCCTACCGGAATGAAATTTTAGTTACACTAGAAATTGAACATTTTCCTAGCTGTGTTAGCCAGCAAAGATAACTGCTGCATGTTGAACCCAAAACATTTCATTTGCAGGGGATGTGGAATGTAAGACAACAAGAGATATGATAGTTAATTAAAGAAGTGGATGGGAGAAGGATCGCTGAGCCAACAGAAGAGGGCTTCACAGAGAGTGGGTTGAGATGAGAAGTACAGATCATTCTTTTTCTCCTGCTCCCTGAAGCGCTTGAGTTGGAGGCTGAGGATTTGGCCTCTTCCTCGAGGTCATTTCCAACT